GTAGCCCTATCTGCCTACAACTGTTTCCCAGAGTACTAAGATTAGAGGTGTGGGCTATTAAGCCCAGAAAGGAGAAAAAAATGGTTTTTAAAGCTAGAAGGAAATGGAAAGGTACTCCACAGTCAAGAATGAAAGATTCAATATTAAGGTAATTCCTGGACAAGCAAGATAGCTGAGTTGTAAAGATACCTGCTATCTAGCCTGATGACCTAAGTTCGATTCCTAGGACCCACATGGTAGAAGGAGGAACCAACTCCTGGGAGGTTGATGACTGACTTCCATATGTGTACCATGCACTTGATCCCAGACACACATACACAAAACAATTTAAACAAACAAACAAAGGAAATTCTCAAATTAACCCATATTCAGGGCAATTCTTGAATTTTAGCTTTCAGGCTAAAATTAAGTCTAGATTCAAAGCAAATAAAATTTAATAACAGACGTTTTAAAAAGCTGTCTATTCCATAATCTATACAGAAGTTAAAAGTAAAAAAGTATACCCGAAACAATTTTGAAGAAAAAATAAGTTTCAGGGCTTATAGTGCCTGATTTGCCAAGTCAGTGTAAGCACACAGGCTTCCTTTGGTACTGACCACATACGTAAGCTCCAACTCTGTGCCTGACATAAAACAAGCAGTCAAGTGCTGTTACCGGGGAAAGAACTCAAAGAAATAAAAAAAGACAAAAAAAAAAAATTGTTAAGAGTCAATTGGCACCAGGCAGATCTCTGTGAGTTCAAGGCCAGCCTGGTTTACAGCACGTGAGATCCCGGACAGGCTCCAAAACTAGAGAGAAACCCTGTCTTGAAACCCCACCTCCACTCCCGCCACCACCCCCAAAAAGGTCAATCGGCTTATCCCAGCACTTGGGAGACAGAAGCAGATGGATTCTGGTGAGTTTGAGAACAGCCTGATCTACATAGCAAGTTCCAATAGAGTCAGAACTACATAGTGAGACCCTGTCTCCAGGGATTTTAATTAAAAAAAAAAAAAAAATTAGGGGGATCCTTTGGGTTTCATCAAAGATGCCAACATAAGTAAAGAGTTTAAGGAGGGGA